GATTCACAAGTGACCTCAAGCCCTGGAAAACTGTTCTCATCTGTTCTGGGGAAACCCTTCACGGGAAGCCGGTGCTGAAGATGGGGAGAGTTCTGAGGGAAAAAGTCCTCCATGTTTTCTTGTTTACAAAATACCTTCTCACTCCTGCCCATGATTTCACTTAAGTGTTTCAAACGTCTACTAAAAAACTTTAAAAAAAAGAGAGAACTAATGGACTAAATAATATATTGAGAAGTAATGATTAAAATACTTAGATCAGAATTAAAAGTGGAAATTAAATTGAAAACAAAAACAAAAAAGAGATAAAAAGAAGTTAAACGATAAGTTAAAGATCTAAATTATCTTAAAATAGAAGATTAAGCATAACACACAAGCTGCAGTAAAATAATTTCAAAATTTAAAGAGCCTTAGAATCACCACAGTAAAAGGGTTAAAAAGACGTAAGATTGATCTTAGAACTAAATCCTCAAAATTTTAACTTGAGGTAGTTGAATTTAGAATTAACACCAATAAATGTACTAGAGAAGGAAATAGGTAGGGTTCAAGAGGAGAGGGATCAGAGCAGGTGGTTTAGAGGAGACCAGCGCTCCAAGGCCTCCCTGCCCCTGCACAGGTTGGATTTCCAACCAGGTATGCAAAGGCCCCCTACTGGCTAAGAGAGAGAAATACTTTCCTTAATATGGATAATTTCTTCCCTCCCACTCTATTTCCGACATCTTTCCTTATTTTGGGGTTAACAGAATATAATTATATGTAGTAGGATTATTTCAAAGAGCCTGTTTTTTCAGCCATAATACTAATAAAATAAGACAACTTGTGGAATAATTTCTCAAAGTGAGATGAAGATACAATAATCAAATGTGGAAGAAAAAGCCTTATGAACCAATAAAAAAGAGTAGAATTTCAAAGCTGTTCACATAAAAAACTAATCGTATAAAAGAAAAGAAAGGAGAACTTGTTCATTTTACCTCTGAAGGAGCTTTAGTTTCTATAAGAACAAATTATTTCCAACAAGAAAAAGAAAACAGCAAAATACTTCAGAAGCATAGCACATAACTAGCCAGTCATTAAACATTATTTTTCGAGTGAGTGATCATCAAATTCATTCAGACTTTATATTCATTTGATTATCATTCCCTCAGCAAAAGTGGTTTGGTTAATGCCAAATTCAGTTGATTGTGTCTAAAGATAGAAGAGAAAATCTGTGCTTTTTCTCAGATATTGAGCACCTTGAACGTGGGATCTTGCAAAGGGAGGAAGAAAACTAATCTTAATAGCTCAATGTGTTAGGCACTATATCTTCATCATCACATTTAACCCAGAAGCAAGTTTATAAGGTTAGAAATTATTATCCCTACTTTACCAAAGGGAAACGGAAGCTTAGTTAAGTCCAAATAATTTGGATCTAGTTTATCCACATGTAGTTTGTAAAGAGATTGAAACTTAGGCCTCCAATGATTATTGCAGTACAACATGTTATCTGCTTAGTTTTTCTGAATGTAAGTATTCACTTGTAAAAAGTTTTAAACATTAAATGAAAAATATTGTGAAAACAATTTTCAAATTTCAAAACATTATATAAATATATGTCATTATTTTCGGTTGTCATATTTAATGGAATTATTCAAAACTATTAAGGGGAGATGGTCCAATTCAGGCTTGCATCCTACCTACATTTGTAGATTATTCCCCCCTATTTCCAGTATTTTTTGCATTACGTCAATTCCACACTATTAGTCTATGTCTGTAGTTTGAAACTTTCCCAAGATATATAGCCTTATTTGTCAACACTTCTCAAATACTTTATTCTTACCATGTAATTCATTTTAGTATCTTTTTTAAAAAAGTAAGTTCCCTTTTCTTTGCTCTCTGTAAATTATACTAACTTGAGATTAATTTTTAAAAAACAGTGTTTGTTGGCAAACTGAAAAGCAAATGAGGAAAAGACCAGTGAATATAAGTGGATGGACGCCCACATCTGTTTGGCTGTTTTGCAGTTGCCCATGAACAGCAGGGAATCTTTAGAAAACTTGTTACGGACCCTGCATGTGCTTTGCTGGGAAAGTCGTGTGCCCCAAAGCTTGGTCCTTGGGGGAATGATCCCCCACCACAGCATAGGCACAGTGGTCAATGAGTTTGGGTAATGCTTCAACACTACATAACTTCTCTTGAACTTTCAAATGTGTATTTATATAATTAAGACTCTGAGAAGTTCTACAGTAAGCCTGTTTAACTTTGTAACAATTTTACATGACTCTATATTTTCCAATGACCGCAGCTCTGGCCAAGGGAGTTAGAGATGCTGCCATGAGTCTATTCAATTGACTATTTTCTGCCTATAAAATGCCAGTTCGACTCTCCTGGATTTGGACATGACTGTTGATCAAGGTCTTGCAGGGCTAAGATGATCAAACTAACATATAAACTAGCTTCATGGTCCAAATAGTCTATGGAGAAGTCCATGATGATGAATACACTTTTCATAAAGCTAAAATGTTGTAAGAATAGAATTAAAAACCCCCTGTATCCATCATCCAGAGTCCTCAATCGTTATCATTTTACCATATTTGAATTATCTTACTCTCTTTGTAGACAGACAATAGATATAGAATGAATTCTTTTCTAAACTATTTGAGAATAATTTGAACAAGTATAAGACATCTAAGAATATTCATCAAAGTTCACAAATATATGTAATTATTAAATTAAAATTCTCAAAAGTATATAATTGAGTCTGTCATTTTACTTACAGTAACTTATTGTAAGGAAATTTTTATAGATATGAAAAAGTCTTAATTATAAGAATGTTATTCACATCAATGTTTATCATATTGGAAAACTTCAAATGGCCATTATATCCACCAATAAGCATTTGGTTGAGCAAATTGTACAATGCAACTATACACTACTTGTAAATGCCCTCCTGTCTGCCACTCACCATTGGCCTCTGTAGCCACTAGGAAAGTTCTAAGCCATTTTGAGAAAGTTCAAAGCTCCTAATATGTCTGCCACAGTTGTATGCATCACTTTTCTCACTACTAGGATTCCTTTGATCCTGTTTGATACCTCTTTGGATGAAATGATCACACAAGATACCCTCAACCTCACATGGACTTGATAAATAAATATTGCTTTCTTCATATAAGTTTCTCCAACCCTCCGTGCATTAGGGATGAATCTAGGGACCGTGGTGCATGGATTGAGCCTCTGCTTTGCCTCAGGCCTCCCGTACTCCTTCCTGAGAGCCCAGAGCAGGTAATGTGCCTGGATCCAGGGCAGCAATGAAAAGCCTGAGCTCTCCTGGGAAGGCCTTCCAATGTAAGAGCAAATTAACTTGGAATACAGTCAGAATCCTGCAGAATTTTCATTCAAAAAGAGTCAATTCCTCAAAATTACATATATTCATGAAAATTCCTAGGAGAAGAATGTGAGCCTTATGCTTAGTCACATCAACTGGACAAACAGATTCCCATGGCTCCAAAGACCCAAGCTTCTAAAAGCTGTGTTGCCTTTTCTAGCCAGTTTGTTTACCTTCCTTACCAAGAACAATGAACACAAATACAATATTACATAATTTCCAAAGGAAATCATTTTACTTTGACATCTCAGATTCAGATGTTCTGAAATAAAAATAAATATAAAATTCAGATAGAGAATATTTGGGATTACATTTCTTATATAAATATTTGGATGGAAAATCATAGAATCTGATACAGCAGTTAAGAAATAAAAAGAAGAAAATTTGACTATAAAATATGCCTCATAAGTATTACAGACATTTAATTATATGGATAAAATTTTTAGAATCAGAAAAGAAACATGCCAAAACATAATATTTATTTAAAAGACAAAATAGTTTGTGTTGAAGACGTTGTTTGCTGGGGAGAAAGGCTTAAATATGAAATAGAAAAATGTAGCATGTTTAATTGATTTGACTGGAAACATCAGTTTGGAATCACCTTCTTCTCTCAAGGAATGTACAAGAGACCACACAAAAATTTAATTTTATTTAGTTTATTAATATGATCCAAATTTAAGAAATGAACAAGATTTAGCTAAATTATACAGACAATGAAAAAAACTCACAAAATTTTCAATTGGTAACAACTTTATTATGGAAAGTCACTCTATTGACTAATATAGAAATAAATCTACGATAGCTACTGTGACTCAAATTGAGCCAGTATGCAGCACGTGCGACACCCAATGGCAGTCAGTGACGGGCCACATGGACCTCACACCCTCCTTGGCCAGCTCACTCACACTGTCTGACCTATGACCTGGACGCTCCAGATACACCCCTCGCAGCATGGGGTTTGCAACCAGCTACTTTTTCCCTCAGCTTACAATCAGTTAGGTACCATTTCTGTATTTCCTGTAGCCTCTTTCTTTTTAGGTAGTGACAGAGCTGAAGGAAACATCCACCTGGCCAGTGCTGAGCAGGGAAGGATACAAAAATACTCTGAGATGGGTTTGGGTACTTTGGGAGAAGCAATAGACTCAGATAAATGAAGAGATTAGAATGGGCATCATCAACAAAGATTGTGGTATGGAACCCACAGGAAATTCACAGAAAAGGACAGAACTGGATAACATCGGAAGACAGGAGGGACCTTAGCTCCACTTGGGAAGTCACACCCAAAGAATGATAAAGAGGAAGAAAACTGGAATGAAAAGAGAATATTTCCTTTTCCATTTCTAAGATGAAAGTATTTTTTAAAAGGTATGTGGAAGCCAAACCAAAAATTAAAGAATAAAATAGCAATTATGAGTGTTTAAATAAAATGTAATATGGAAGTAAAGAAAATTCTTTTATGTCCACTTGACTTTGTCCAAATTTTTATAACGGTAATATTATCAGGCCAGTTTTGCTTTGTTGGTGATACATTTTATGAGACATCTCTGAGGAAAGGAAGAGAACCCATGACATCTCTCAGGAAAACTGGGAGAGTGGGGAGGAAGGGAGTGTATGAAAGGTGAGTCTCTACCATCTTCACATTTGCTCCTCATGCCCAAAGTGGTTTAACTTTCATGTTTAATGACAGTTTCAGATCCCAGAGAAAGAGAACATCAGCACCGAGGACTGAAGAATTAGGACAAGTATAAGCAGCTCAGTATGCTGCCCAGGACCGTGAAGCACGCCAGCAGCTGGAGAGAGGAGTTTCTGTGTGGAGATGAGGAAGGAGAGGTGCACACCAAAGATTTTGCTCTGTATGGTCTTTCTATATCTGGAGGTACCGCTGTCATCCCTTGGGTCTGAAAATGGAAAAGCAGAGAATGCCAATGAGGACGTGATTTAAGAGCAGGCCTACGGCCAAGCTTGCTCAGCCCTTGCACTTCTGCAGGGATCAAAGGGCTGAGGGATGGAGGGACAGATGGCTGCCGAAGCCATCAAACATCAGGACAGTCACAAGCTTAAGGGATTTGAGGGAAGCGGAGAAGAGAGCCAGACCTCTGGGACAGAAGATATAAGACAGGCTACGCTGCTTTCTGAAACTCTCATCTCACCTTATTGCTGATTCACTGTGACTTCCGTTTTAGAGTAAGTTTCCCTCTTAAAGGGAGGGAAATCAGGAATTTTTGGTCAACACAAGTAACCATTATGAGCTGGATTTGTTGGATTCATGGATATTTGCCTGTTCCTTAGATTTCATCTGTTGTGGATTCGAGATAAAATGTGACATGTGGTTTCCCCAAAGATTAAAACAAACTAGGGCTTACCGACCACTCTGCATTGTCTGCCTTGGAGCATCTCACATTCACCGGTAGCCTAAGGACAAGCTCGTTGAAGGACAGACCTTGCTTTTTGGTCCATTTAAACTTATTCATTGCATCCATGAAGGAAAGGTTTTTATATTGCTTGGGGCTTTTGATAATGAAAGGCCAGGTCCTGAATTTAAAATAAAAAATGCGCAATTAGTCATATTCAGAATAAAAGCATTATGTATCTCCATTCCTTTTCAACATTCTAAAATAGACCTCATACTTGTTAATTTTTACAAACATAGATGACCCAATGCAACATGATGATGAACTCATCGGCAGTTACCAGAGGAAATACAGACAATGAAATTCAGACAATTTTAAACAATGAACTTCCTTATTTGAATAGCAGATGGATATTACTTTTAAACAAGTAATTTTGGTTCAGAAAGCTTCCCTAGAGTCTCACAATTCCTTATTTATTTGTTTTGTCTCTAGTTAACAATATAACTGGTAAACAAACTGTTCTAAATAGTGCAATGAAAATGGTATAATTAAAAAACGCATAGGGTCTTTAAAAGGACTGTAACGAGGCAGAAATTTCAATTCCACACACGTTTGTACATTTTTTACATTAGAGAAGTCTGACCTCTCGTGGCCGCCCTGTTTTGGATTGTTTACATGGAGATAAATTCAAAGGATTTGAAAATGGACCAGTTTTTAAAATTTTACTGAGAAAAGTAAATACTCTTCAGATGATCTGCTTTGCTTCTACTTGCTGCTCTAAAAACAAACAAACAAAAACCATGTTAAATGTCCAAGAAAGAACAAATCACAGAAGAGTGGCAAGACCTGCTTGAAAACATACCCTTCGTTAAATATAAGTTTATATTATTTATTTGTGAAAAAGGAAAAGTATAAATGTTGACAAACAACAAAAAGTTACATGAACTAACCCAGGACCTTCCAGGAGACTATCATGGGTAACCAGCAGGCATCTAGCCCCCATCACATCCCAAGAAGTTGTTCCAGTAATTACCAAATAACCGCCAGCTGAAGAATCTACATTGTAATATTGATCTTCACAGTTTCTTCTCATACACACACAACCTACTCAGGCACATTGATATTATCTTTTTAAGTAAATTAAACATCCTTTATTAATTTTTTAGTTATAGAGATAAATTTTTAATGTCCAGGTTAAAATTATTTCTTCCATACTCTAGTAATACAATGAAAAAGCAATGCATAATATATGGTGACTTTTCTATTCTTTAGTCCTAACTTCCTTTTTTTCCTTTCATTAAAGTCAATATATCTTTGTTGAGTTTAAATGCATTTTATACAGAGACTTTAAAATTAAATACCATAAAGAAAGAGCATCAGGTCACATTAATCATATCCACCAATGACCTAGAATCTATCACATTTTAAAATTAAACATGCTGTGAAGACATGTAGAGATACAAATCAGAATTAGTACAAAATAAAAATGTGAAAGGGGACTATTATGTCTATATACAATGTCCTTTTAAATACAATGAAAGCTACGTCTAGATTTTATTAAATAGAAAATAGATTTTAAATCAAATATTAAAAATAAAATTTACTTTTCACAAGGATAATGTATCTATCTGGAAAAAAAGAAAATCAACTTCACAACTAGGGAAATAATGGGGAGGGGAATGGGGGGTCATGAAAGGAGGAATCATCAGCCTGTAACCACCTAACACACCACAGGGTGGCACTAGAATCTCTACTAATGATCCAAGGTGGCCTAAGTCCTCTGATTTTTCTGCAGGCTTGCTGGTAAGAATGAATACTGTATTACTGTACATTGATAAAATCTTAAAAAGCTTTGCCACTAGAATATATTAACAAACTAGGATTTTTTGACATGAGGTATAAAGGCATTTGTTAACTTACTATAAATATGTGAAAAGGATGTAAAAAGGGAAAACCGATAGGTTCTTACATTAGGGACAACATGGCATGACTGAGTAACCTGGGGACATAGTCGCCAACCTCTCTGAGATGACAGCATTGTCTAATGTTCATTGTTTCCTCTCCATTCCTAATAACTTTGTTCAGTCCCCTACTCTGTAATAAAGTCACTCCGTCACTTCCAACCTATCCTATACCACAATTTACCCCTGGAGAAAAGAGGACAAAACTGAGAAAAAACCCTGAAAAAGTGAATATTTTTATCTTGAGTATTTTTACTTATAAGACTAAGCTTTAAACCAGAAATACACAACCTTGGAGTAGCAAGTTCTTCTATTATCACTGGGACTGAGAGTTAGGAATATCTGGAATGTTCTAGAAACATTTCTGCACATCTGGGCACTATGTACACATCTACCCAAATACTTTAAAAAATGTATTATTTATATATCACTATAGTTGATAAAAATATATCACATTAATATTACTTAATATTAATAAGTTTTTTTCAAATTTTAATTTGACAGGTTAATTTAAAATATATACAAAAATGAAATAAACTTAGACTATCCAAAGTAATTTGAAGAAAAGGAAAAAAAATGACAACATTTGGGGACTTACACCCTCTTATTTAAGGACAAGCTAGAAAACTATAATAACTGAGTGTGGTATTATATTAAGGTTAAACATGTACAACAATGATACAGAATTCAGAGTCCAGAAATAGTCAATACATGGTTAAATGATTTTTGACAAACATTCCAATATAATTCAATAGGAAAAAGCAGGGTTTTTTCATCCTATTGGTTCTTGAGGAACTTTTTATCCATATGAATAAGAATGACCTCAGCAGTTATTCATATCACACACAGAAATTCATTCAAAATGTATCATCAACCAAACTGTAGGACCTAAAACTATAAACTTCTTAACAGAAAAAAAAAAGGAGAAAATCTTCATGGCCTTGGGTAGGCCTTGGGTAGGCAAATATTTCTTACATAGGATATCAAAAGCACAAAACAAACCATAAGTGATCAAAAAGATTTCAAAAACTATAGCTAAACACTGAAAATCAAACCACAGACTGGAAGAAATTATTTGTAAAAATATATCTGACAAAGAACTTAAATCCAAGTATAAAGAACTCTTTAAAAATATAAAGAACTCCTACAAGTATATAATAAGACAAATAACCCAACAAAACTATGTACAAAAATTTGTGTAATTAAAGAGGAACATATATAAATGATCAATAAGCATGTGAAAAGAGGCCCAAGATTGTGAGTCACAAGGGAAATGGAAAATAAAACCACAAAATATCACACTACATACATATTAAAATAGATAAAATTTAAAATACTGAAAATATAAAACATTGAGAAGAACGTTAAGCAGTAAGAGCTCCTATACATTACTGGTGAGTATGTAAAAAGGTCCACCATTTTGGTGAAAATTTTGAGAGCCTTATGAAATAAATGTATTCTTAGTACACAATCCAGTGATTTCACCACCAGGTGTTAACCCAGGTGCTCAGCAATGAAACATGTTCAATTTAACTTATGTGTTCTACAGGTAAAGGACAAATGCTCCCATTCATCCAAAGAGATCTCTGAAGAGGGTGGGGAGGAATGACCCCACAACATGATATCCCGCCAAAGTCTGGCCAAATCTAAATGCAGAAATTCTCAAGTGTAAAAGAACTCTGGGCATAAAACACCTGCCAGTCCTCCTGGATGAAACAAGTTGAGAATAAAATTTAAAAACTAAAAAAATGCAGAAAATTCAGCATTATCATTGACTCTATTTAAAAATTAAAGTTGTATTAAATACTGTTAGAGTTAGTTTTCAAAGTTAAATGTGAAAAATTAAAATCTTGATAATACAAAAATTATAATGTGAATAATAAATATTTGGAGGTATAGAAAAGGGAGGTTGGACACAATGTGAAAGTATGAATGTCCTCATCTTTTAATGATCTAAACTTGAAACATGCAGTTTAGGGGGGAAAAAAGATAGAAAAGAAAAACAATAACAAAACAAAAAACAAGAAAATGATCACCCAAAATCCCAAAATTTAAGAAGAAAAAAATAAAAACAAAAAGACCAAAAAAAAAAAACCAAAACCCAACCCACCACCATGTAGTTTTTAAAAAGCAAGTGTAACATATTAATGTTTTTTACAATATATTTTCTTAACATTCATGAGCCCCTTTCATTACTGTCTCTTACGGTTAAAAACAGCAGCAACATTTATTAGAAGTTCAACAACTCTTCACTTTTAGTTCAGTTTCTTTGTCTTCTGATAAATTAAAGCAAAATTAAGTGTTACTGTTTTTGTTTAAAACAGTGAACAAGTTAAAATCTTTATATCATAGTCTAGTCATCTTTACATCAATGCCTACATACAGAGATGTCTGTAATAGCTTTCAATGAATGCTATTAGTATTTTTTTTCCTAACAGAATTTGAGGTAATGGCTTTTATCCTTTTTAAAACATTTTTCTGCATTACCTAAATGATAAGAAACATTTGTGACTTTTACACATTATAAACATAAAGTGATTTTTCCTATAAAGAAAAAAGAGAAACACCTCTCTTGATTCTTCTTTAGAAATAGAACAAAAAAACACAGGAACTTTTCCATCACATAAACCTTCCTGTGATTGCATTGATGTGATGTTTCAGAGAACAGAGAATTGATATAAATTCATTATCTATTCTGTCATCTAATCTTTGTGAGTTTTTGTTCTTCCTTAAGCCTTGCCAGATCTGTAGGAGGCAACCCTCAGAACAGACAAATCCTGAAACAAGATGTAGTTGTCTCTCTTTTTCTACCAAGTCATCCTCTAATCTCAGGATTGCTATGAATGTTTAAAATGAAATGGGGTACCTACTTAATTACTACACTAAAAGCACAAAATAGGAGATTCGAGGTTATATGTGAGATGATATTCCTTTTCAGTATTGTATCCTGAAAACAAATGAGCAATTTTCTTTTAAGCAACACAGTAAAAGCTCCCAAACCATTTCCCTTGTTCTGATCTTTTAACCAGCACCTTGTTAGTTTGGTCTTCAATATTTATGTCACTGTGATGATTAACTATACTTGAAAGTTTGATTTAAAGTCCAAACATGTATTTCATAACAGAGACTCTTTTCACTCGTATTTTTTGAAGAATAAATATATCTAACCTGTAGTTAAATGGTTTTACGTGGGCAGTTACATCTCAAAACTGGCCTTGTTCTGTGAAGCAATTCTCCCGCCCCCCTAAGTGATGAAAACCCCAACTGCTGTGTCTCCCAGGGGAGACCAGAAGCATGGCCACTGGCAGAACTCACAGGGACAGGGAAACGGGGCATTTGCAGAGGCTTTTCACAATAGGAACCAAAAGAAAGTAATTCACCCACAGAATGTATTCAAAATAGAATGTGTTTGGAATCAGCATCTTGTAAACAGGCAGCCTTGAAAGTCCATTTGTTTTCAACATTGTTTCAAGTTAACCGCTGATTAGGAAAAAGTTCTAGTGAACACAGAAGAAATACTCTAAAGGAACAAAAGGCTATTTCAATGTTAGCAGGAGACAATATGATATCAATATTTTAAAAACAAGACTATCTAGTGTTTTTAGAATGACATTTTATGTGCCGTTTTGATTTTTATTAATATTTTATTTTAAAATACAATTATTTATTTTTAATAAAATATATATAGCAATAAAATCAGAGACCGCAATACGGAGGCCGCCCTAGCTCTGCCATTTTCTGTGAATTACAGAGCATTGAACAGTTTCATAATCTCTTCCTTTCCATTTCCCCCTCTATAAAACTAGGATTGCAAGCCTTGCTCTACCTATTGGAACTGTATGAAAATAACGTACATGAAATCATGCATTTGAAAACACTTCATAAGCTACAAACTAAGTTACATAAGCATTTTGTTAATTTAGTGGCTCCAGCCTTCTGTTCTGGTGGTCAGTGGGTTGTCTTGATAGGAACTCAGTATAGCGCATTTATGAACCATAGGTTTAATTTTCAAAAAATGTGTTTTAGTTCATGATTTATAATCCTTAAAATATTTAAAAACAAAAAGTAGACCATAATTATATTCTCCTTCAGCATTTGAATTTTACCACATCCTCATTGTTTTTTTTTTACCCTCTCCTTAAATATACTCCCTCAAAAATCTATGTGCAACTTTTGCCTAATTACATCAGTCTCTTTCATTTTGAAAACTCCTAATCATTAGAAAATTCTTCCTTGTTTTAAAACAAAATCTACTCTTCAAAATTTCCACTAGGCACCCTAATTCTTGTCTTGTTTTTCTACAACAACCCTAATATATCCCAGAGTTTTCAATTTCTCCTTCAAACAGGTTTCCCTACACCATTACATCACTCACACAATGTCATTTTTCCTTTACTCTTTCCCTTCTTTGATCAATTCCCTGAGATGCAATCAATCAACAAGTCCAGTGAGTGCTACCTTCAAAAGGTAACCTGATGTAACCATTTCTCATTAACTCTACTGCTGCCACGTTGGTCCAAGGCAGCCTCACCTCTCCCCAGGACAATCACAAGTCTCCTGGTTGGTATGATTCTCCAATCTTCCCCTTCTACAGTCTTTACTCAGCACAGCCACCAAGCTGACTTTTTTCTTAATACGCTGCAGTGTCTTCCCTTTGCACTTAAAACCCAAAGTCCTCATGTAGCCTAAGTCCTACCTGATCCGACCCCACTTGCTGTCAGACCTTCTCACTCATCTCCTACCATACTTCATGCTGCTCCAGCCAAACTCACCTTAATGTTGCTCTTTGGACATGCTAGCTTCATACCCAACATGGGGTCATTACACTGACTCTTCGCTCTGCATAGAGTATACTTGGATATCTTTGTATGGCTGGCTTCTCATCACTGAGGTCTCTGCTCAAATATCGCCTCCTGCCATGGACTAAATGGGTAAGTCCACCCAAAATTCATAGGTTGAAATCCTATCACCCAAGGTGACATTATTAGGAGATGGGGCCTTTGGAAGTAAGTCTCTGCCCTCATTTATGGGTTTAGCATCCTTACAAAAGCAGCTTGAGAAAGCTCCCTTTCTCCTTCTGCCAGGCAAGGCTACTGTGAAATGACCAGCCATGAGGAAGTGGGGCTTCACCAGACACTACATCTGCCTACACTTCGATCTTGGACTGCCCAGACTCCCAAAGTGTGAGAAATCAGGTTCAGGAGTTCATGAACCACTCTGTTTATGGCATTTAGGACCCAGTAGCCAGACTAAGACCTTCTCCAAAAAGGCTTTCACTGCCCTATTGGCAACAGCTACTCATATCTTTCGTTGTCTCAATTGTTTTCATAACACCTCATATCTGAACTTTTATATTTATAGTTTGTCTATTTTCTCTCCCCCATTTGAGAATATAATTTTAACTTGGCAGGAATAATGTTTATCTTGTTTATTGTTTTATCTTAAGTAATTCTTATGACATGCAATTGTGCAGAAAGAGTTAACATAGACTGCCTGAGACTGCTATTTTTAGAAATGCCTCCTTGGATGTTGGATATTTGGCTGGCATCAGGAAATTTGAATAGTAACCAATTTGCTATATTAATACAAAATTTTCTCTAAATGATAAGAGTGACTACCTGTGCCTAGACTGTTTGCACCGCAGTATAGTTTATAGTGAACCCTGGTTTTCCTGGTGGGAGTCTGAAATTTAAGTATTTTCTAAGCAGAGGGCACCTATGTGACCATCCCCCAACAAAAACTCTGGGCACTGAGTCTCTAATGAGCTTCTTCAGCCCACAGCACTTCATACGTGTTGTCATAATTTGATGCTGGTGGAATTAAGCACATTCTGTGTGTCTTCACTGGGAGGGGTTTCTTGGAAGTTTGCACCTGTTTTCCTGTTGACTTTGCCCCATATGCTTTTTCTCCTTTTGTTCATTTTTCTTTATATTTTCTCACTGCAATTAATATTAGCCATGAGTACAACTATATGCTGAACACTTTAGGTCCTCCTAGAAAAACCTCTGAACCTGGGAGCAGTCTTGCAGCCCTGGACAAAGCAACCAAGAAGCTCACCTGGGTTCCCCCAGTAGAAAATAATCAAACGGAACAGCACACAAGGGATTCCATGACATGAAGATGAATCCAATATACAATTAACACCCATCCTTTTTGGAAGTATATTACCCCACCATGAAATTCTTTTACCACTTACGTGACTGGCCTGTAGATCTCCTTAACACCAATGAACTTAAGTTGTTCCATAATGTCTGGAATACTTGCACATCGAGTAAGATTAATTCTTGGGTAGTAAAGAAGGTATGAGAGACACATTTCATTCCTGGTGCTTAGTCCTCCCTGAAAATGGAGATGTTTTATTTAGAAAAGTATGTTCCACTAACTGGGGCATTTATAGCACATAAGCCACCAAAGTCATACAGTTCCTTCCAGTATTAAAATGTAATAAATCTTAAAGCTCAAACATAATATAAATGACAAATTTAGTTTTTTAAAAGGTAATGACACATTTAAAATTAATAAATTATTTCCTTCACTTTAAAAGTTGCTTTTCTTAAATGATCTCATAATCTCCTTAAATTTCTGATTAAATGATGTTAACTTCTCACCACAGTGAATACGCCAGAGGATTATAGGGGTGTTTGGTTACCATGATACCGATCAGTCAATTGAAAGAATATTTGCCCAGTTGCACTGAATTTTCTATAATCTTGTTGCCATGTGTAAAAAACAGAGAGACAAACTGCACATTTTGAGTCTAGGCAGTAAATTATCTATTAAAATAAAAATCCTCAGAAGAAAAAAATCTAGAATTGCTACAACATATTATCTACACTGTCCAATTTTTCAACTGAAAGTTATTAAACTTAAAAAGAAAGAGAAAACTATAATCTGTATTCAGAGGGAAAAAAGGTTAATCAGTAGAAACTAATTGTGAGAGAATACAAACACTGGATTTAGCAAAAACTTAAAAGCAAATATAAATATATTTAAAGAGTTAGAAAAAGATATTCAAGTAATTAAAGGCAAATATATTGAAAATGAGTAAACAATTAGGGAATGACATCAGAAATAGGAAAACAGAAAAGAACCAAATAAAATGCTAGAGTTGAAAGATACCATAATGCAATGAAAAGTTCAGAGGATGAGCTCAACAGCAAATCTCAGATGGAAGAGGAATCGGTGAATTTGAAGGTAGAGCAATAGAAATTATCCAATTGAAAGAACAGAAAGAGTGAAAACAAGACTACAGCAAGTGAAAACTCCCCAGAGATCTGTAGGAAAATTCTAAGTGTTCCAACATATATGTAATTGGAGTTCCAAAAAGATAATGGTTTAAATCTCCCAAATTTAGTGAAAAACATTAACTTATACGCCCTAGAAGCTCAACAAATGCCAAAGATAAATATTAAGAGACCCATACCTTGACACATCATAGTTCACATTGTTGAGAGTCAAAGAAAAAAAAATCTTGAAAGCAGCAAGAGAAAAATGACATAGCACATACAGGTGAACAATAATACAATTGACAGCTGGCATTTCATCATGAATGACAGAAGCAACAAAGAGATATTGAAATTACATATTCAACTGCTGCATGGAAAAATAAATTAATCAAGAATTAAGTATTCAGCAAGTTATTTGTCCTTCAAAAATAAAGGTGAAAAATTTAATAATATTGTTCATGATTATAAATTAATATAGTGGCTAATATGCAATGGCTACACATTACAAAAATATAATGTCTTACACTAGATGAGCAAGGCAGGATTGAACAAAGGGAGAAGCCATTGTACAAATGAGGCCGCATCTGATGCTTCCGTAAATAATCATATTTAACCTATCCTTGAGCTGAGGTGGCTACTCAGAGTTTTACCAAACTGCAGGCAGGAGCTGAGCCTTTGAAATCTCACAACCACCGTCGTGAGCTGCAGGCTGCCCCACAAGAGTGAGTGTAACTTTAAGTGAGTTATTCCCTGGCACCAAAGTCAATACCCAGGGAGGGATACAGATGTGGCTGAGGTTTTGCAGTCCTGGATCTGAAAAGGGAGAGTATGGAGGCAGAGCACCAAAATGTACACTAAAAAATAATTTATTATATATTTAGTAAAATACTTTATGCAAACAAAATTCTATATAAGGCACAAGAAAAATACTGTCAACACCAGTGTCCTGAGTCTCTTCTGTATGCTTATCCTCAATTCTCCTCCTCCCCACCCAAACCAAAGATGATTATCTCAATATTTTGTTTAGATTCTATTGCTTTTCGTTACACTTTACATTTAGTTCACAGATGTAGGCACCCTTAATATATGTTTAATTTTGTATGTTTTTACACTTTAGATACATGATATCACAACTACATATAATCAGTTGCAAATTTGCTCTTTTCAATCAATATTATGTTCTTCAGATACATAAGTTAATATATGAACAGCTTTAGGTCATTAATTTTTATAACTACTTATATAATATATGGACATATTATAAATTTTTTTGGTTTGTTTTTGTTTAGATAAATAATTGAGCTGACCCCAGGATTTTGCTCCTGGGTTGTTACATGTTACTATGAATATTTTATATATTCCTTTTCTGGAACACTTCCTGCAAACGTAACCTTAAGGTTAAATCCACATAGGAGTGGAACTGGGTAGAGCATATATCAGTCTCCAGCTTTACTCAAGAATGTCATGTTTTTCCCCAAAGTGGTTTTATAAATTTATATTCAGCAGCATATGAGGGGTCTAGTTTCAATACATTGGAATTACAATTTTAAATATTGCCAAACTGGTAAGTATAAACTATCTCATTCTGGTTTACATTTGCATGACTCTGGTTTCAGATAAAATCAATGATCCTTTCATATGTTTATTATCTGTTTGGACTTTCATTTCTATGAAATATTTTTATCTTTTGTTTCTATTGTATGTTTGTCTTATGTTACTGAACAATGAAATTTCTTTTAAATGCTGAACAGTAATTCTGTTTTAATCTATGTATTGCAAATTTCTTTTTCAGTTTAAAACTTTTCACTTACTTAACCAGGTTTCTTTGGTTAAAAAAAACCTTTAATTTAGTCAACTTCATCGACCTTTAAATTCACAGTTTGTGCTTTTTCTGTTCTGTTAGAACTCTTACCTACCCCAAAGTCATAAAGATAGAGTCATATATTTTTCTCCTAACAGTTTTAAATTTTTGCTCTTCACATTTAAATATTTAATCTACCTGGAATGGATTTTTCTGAATATTGTGCAAGATAAAGACATAATTTTATTTTGTCATTTGGATACCTAATTGTGTCGGTATTTTTTAGTGAAAAGTCCCTCCTTTTTTACTTATCTGAATGCCTTGTCTATCCTAAATCAAGCTTCCATAGAAAGGACTCATAGGTCCTTTTCCACAATCACTATTCTATCCCACTGTTTTAACTCTGGACGCAAACACCCTATTCATCACCATAATTTTAAAATAAGCCTTCATCTCCATAGTTTGTTTCTCATCTTGCTCTTTGCAGTGGTGTTCTGCTTATTATTAACATTTTGCTCTTCTGTGTAGCTTTCAGAATGAACTTTCTTCATGTAAAAGCTAAAACTGTCGAATTTTTAGATTAATATATAGGAGAATATCTTTGTAGTTATGTCTAGGCAAGGATTTCTTAATACCAAAGTCCCAAACCATAAAACCTCTCTCAAGTTTTAGCTGATATTTATATAAAGTTTATAGACCAATTTAAATAGAAGAATTATTTTTATTTTACTAAGCTTTTTTATCCATGAACATAGTATCTCTTAATTTCTTTAGGCATTTCTTTAATGTCTTGCTACACGTTTTTATCATTTTTTTCCACAGAGATCAAACACAGCTAATGTTAGATTTTATTTCTATAGAACTTGAGAGTTTTTTATTGTATTTTCTTGAGATAGTTTCTCATATACTAAAATACAATTAATTTTAGATATTACCAATTTTGAGATTTTTGATGTAGAAAATTACATATTTGTGAATAATGTGTTTTTTCTCTTTGCCTCTTCTTTTCTGAGCTTACATCTCTTTTTTTATTTTTCCAGTAAAGTGTTGAATAGAAATAGTGATAATAAATATTCTTGTATTTCATTTAGTTTAATATTTGCTATAGATTTTTCGCAGCTGATTTTTATCTTGTTAAGAAAATTCTCTCTTACTTCTGGTGTGCTAAGTGCTCTTTTTTCCTGCATCACTGACTTAAATTTTTATGAATGATTTTTTCTTCCCCAGTTGAGGTTATCATACATATTTTTCCTTCAATCTCTTAACTGAAGAATAGCATTAACGTGTTTTCTAATTTAGGCCAATTTGATATTTCTTAGAGAAACCCAGAATAATCCTTACATTACATTTTTATTTAATGCAGGATTTGACAATATTTTGTCAAAGATATTCCATCAGGTGCATATTGTTGACTGCTCTCAAACTGCCATTCTCAAGGTTTAGTTTAAGATTATGCTAACTTCATAAAATGAGTTGGTGGGAGGTGTGTTCCCTGGAACAGATAAGCAAGGCATGAATGATTTAATTCTTGAATATTTGGCAGAACTCCCCAGTAAATCTGTTAGGATGAAATTTCCCTTTGGGTCAGAAACCCTAAGACCATGTAATTCATTCTTCCTTTTGAAGTCTTGATTCATCTATGTCCAGACTCATGTACGTGGTCATTAGTAACCACAGGTCTTTTATTAATAATATTGGGTGAGGAAATACTAAAAGACTAAGATAGATTTTCATGAAAGAGTCATTAAATTACAATGCAAATATTACCATACTATCATTAATTAATCTGACAGAATGCTAAAACAGGTCTGATTCCACTTTTATAATGTTTCATGGTCAAGACATTCAGGAATTTTGCTTCCCAATGGGAATGTTTTTTACTTTTTTCTTTAAAATCAAAGTTTATTCCTCCTTTTCTTCAAATAAATTTTAATAATAAAAATTTTCTTACCCAAGTCATCATGTCTCTATCTTTCGTGTTGTAGCGACACTCAGTAATTAGATTATCTCCCTAAAACATAAAAGTATGAGCTTTCAGATTGGAGTTTTATGCTGTTCCATTTATCTAATATATTTGTAAGTCAACGGTTTATTTACTATATGAAGGGATGCATTAAGTAATTTGATTCAGGAGAAGACCCTTGATCTATGAAATTCTAGGGTAGTAAGCAAGCAAGCAAACAAACAAGGCTCTCTGGGTTCAGGCAAGACTCCACCTTGTTCTGGCTGCATGACCTTAGGTAAGAAAATGACTCATCCAGGCACAATGTATTCCCATAAAAGATAATGATAAAAAATAGCACTTCTTTTGCACAGCTGTTGTGAGGGAATTAAACAACAAAACACATATTTAATCCTTAGTAGAAATTAAACACTTCATAGATGTTAGCCATAGATACTAGATACTGTGATTCCCTCCTTATTTGCATTACTTTCTTTAAAGGTCTCTAGTCACGTCTTTATTTCCTTACAAAAGAACTGTGAGGCAAATTAATAGTAACTTAGTTTTCCAGTGTTTTCCAATCTTTCGCACACTCAGCACACATAGAAAATAACTATATTTTTAGGCTGCCCACTCAGGTAAGTGGACAGGCTATTTACGGGTCAGACACCAATAACTCTGGCTGCTAGCCCTCAGATTCATTCTCCTTGCCCTGTCAGTCGGAGGGACCAGGGATCAATATCTCAACATACTTATATGCTGCTCACAGCCCACCAGTTGGAAAGCTCTGAGATAACACAATAAAACTGGTTGGAAAGCTCTGAGAAAAGATCAGACAATAAAAGAGAGTGAAGAATTTCGACAACATCAATGTCTCTCATACTTCATCCTTCTATTCTCAGGTGTACCAAAGAATTTCTGCATGTAGAAAAGACATAGCTATCACTCTCATTTCAAAAATAGTATATAAGAACTGAACTCTTAAGAATAAAATAAGGGCAGAAAATTATATGACAATCTTAATGGTCATGGGATAAAAAATTTTGAAAAAATGAAGCCTCACCAAAAAAGCAAACAAACAAACAAAAAAGAAACCTTTGTGAAACCTTCACTATTGTAAGGCATACAATTCTCTTCTGTGTCCTTCTGCCATGACCCCAAGTATTGTAGCAAGTAGATTACACAGCACAATATAATTAGCTATGTCTGAACACCATTGCCAAATAAAAGGATTATCCTTGTAATCATGTTTACTGAAATGAAACTTCCAAAAAGAAAATCCTATGGAATAAGGAAAGCTCTGATTTACTATTACCATAATTGCAGCCAAAGATTTCAACTGGGAAGTCAAATAAGAGAAGAAGAATGCTAGGGCTTAGAACCCAATTTTTATTTTCTTTTAAAATCAACAACTTGAAGTGCCCCTGGGAATAGCAAGAAAAATGAGTTTTGATTTTGGAAAACAGATTAAACACATCCCATCTGGGCTGTGCAACACCCATCGTGGGTGGCTTTAAGAATAAGGATACCATGAGGAATTCATTTCACCAGTAGAAACCTTGCTAATTCTCAGCAGATATATGTCTCATGACTTTTATAACATTCATTGAGAAAGAACAAAACGTTCATACTGGTAAGATTGTTTGCTCTTCCTTTAGATACTGAAACTCCTGGAAATTGAAGTCGAAATTGTCATCATAAGCAAGTAATCGCATTTCCTTCCCTTTGCGAAAATGACGTAGCCTGATGCCCCTGCCAGCCAGGTGAGCATGGAGAAGAACGGCAAACACGTGGACTCCACTGGGCTTTTCAGCTTCCAGAGCCTGTGGGTTGGGGGTTGGGGGTGGGGAGAGTGGAAGACTGGATTAGCCCATACAAGTGAGTATTCAAACAGTTCTTGTTAAAAGAGATTTGGATGAACAGCTGAGAAGAAAAGCCAAAGTAATTTGAGTAAATGCTTGGGCCACCAAACATTTAGAATTTTGATTTTTCATGGCATTCCTACCAGTGTTATCATTGTGAAGCAACATGTATCGGACCATTCCTAAATGTTATCTTTCTCTTTCCTTCTTTTAAGAGGTAAAGCAGAAGTCAAAGCTCCTGGCAAAAAATATTCTGGAATGTTAGTAACCTGCAAATTAAAACTCTTAAAAGGAGAGATTATTCCTGCATTTACAGATAAGAAAACCAAGTGGGAGAGAGGCATTAAACAGACTTGCCCATGGTCCCCCAGCTCATAAGTGATGTAATGGCAATTTGAATATTGATCTAAATAACACAAGAGCATGTTTCCACTTCACCAGGCTGCCACCTTGCCTACGACCATGCCATCTTTTAATTCATAAAGAATCTGATCCATGTTGAAATACTTTCATTCAATGGAAAAGAATATGAATGAAAGCAGCCACTGTTAAATACTTTCACATGGTTTTATCTTATCCAATCTGCATTTTTATATTAGTTATTCTTGCTCTTTGGTTAGAGAAGGGAAGAAAACTATGAAGCAAAGAAAAAGAGAAAAAATTGAAAATAAATAATGGGAAAAAATTGAGATGAACAATAAGGTTGAGAATGGAAACTACACAAACAGAAAAAGAAATTTCAAACGATAAACTAAAGCGTCCAATATGAAACAAACAAAGGGGGTGGGGCTAGGATGGAAAACACACTGAGAGTCATTCTCGTCTTGAGAATTCTACTCCTGTAGCCTTCAGGATTTATAAAAGCAACCAAAGGTCTTGCTAAAATTGAAATAATGGTTTTGCAGTGTGACAACGAGAAAAACATTGATAATGAACAAGCAGGGAATTTTCCCAACCCAGTTTCCTAAGAGCATTGATTACTCTGTGAATAGCAGCACATAGATTGAGACGCAGCATACCTCTCCCAGGCATTCCAGAGTGCAGTGACCCTCGGACTGGAACTCAGGCATGCCTGGAGGGAGGGTATGGAAGAGGCTCACCCAGAGGCCCGCCTCAATCACCCCGGCGTCATATCTCCTTATGTCTGTTGTATGAAATAACCTCAGTCCAGAGTTATCTATTAAGCCTGAAACAAGAGCATATAATTAAAAGTGAGTTTGCGTTCTTAAAAAAAAAATCCCTATGTGCAGTTGAAGTGTTTCATTAATCTTACCTAAACTCTCACAGGGAAAAGGGATACAAGCAAAGATTAATGGAAGATTACATTCAGCTTCACAAATGGGGATTAAAAGACAAGTCGCCATATTGTCTGCATTCACAGGAGAAATGTTTATGTTGTCTAGCTTATATACTCCAATTATCTAACATGAAGACAGAAGGAAAATTACAGAGTCATTCATTAGAGTGTAGAAGAACTCAACAAAAATCTTATATGGTTTTCAGGTGAGGTTCAATAACATTTACACAAAGGTGAAAACCAACAGCTTGGTCAAGAAACCATGTAGAAAACTATTAATGATTAACTTTATGGCTTGTCACCATTCTTTCAATCATTCAATCAGTATTGAATAATCAATACTAATTGAGACTCTGTTATGTGAAAAGCACTACAATAGGGATTATGGAATGAAAGGTGAATAAGACACATTCCTTGCTGTGACATACTTATAAGGAGGGAAAACATGAATCTCAAACTTCATACATCTGCTCCACTAATTTTGAAATTAGTTGACTCCTTTCTGTGGTGCTGACTTACCTTCCTATGAATACCAAATTGGATCAATTAGTATACATTATATGTCATTTTATATTCATTGGTATGATTATTCTATTGTTTCCTTTTCCCACTCTACTATAATTTCCACATGGGTAAAAACAGTATGTTTTTCACAAACCTTACATCATTAAGCACACACCCAGCACATAGTTGGTGTTCAGCATTTGCTGAATAATTGCATGAATCAATGTAAGACAATAACTTTAAGTTGCTGCTGTTGATAATTTCATATTAAATCTTTCAATTTTTTTATTTTGGAATATTACATAAGTAAATTCAGAAATCAAATGTAAATACTTACCCCTTTTCATTTCAATTATGATATCATGCAGTGTCTCTAAATACTTGTTGAGTAAATTTATGGTTTTCCTTTCATACAACAAAATGCTTTATATTTTCTATTGTGATAAATGGTAGTTTTTCATATGTATAGTTAGAAAATGTTTCATAAGCACACTGTATTTGAGGCTAATTTACATAACAAAGGGAAAAGTCTATTCTTCTTTTTCCTGGTAAGTCATATGCAAACCTTTTTTTAAGACTAATGACCACAAGGCCCATTTGCCTTGTTCATAGCTGGTAATGACTCTTGTCCCAGTGTAGTTATTAATAGTACTCTCTTTTACTCTAAAAAGTATCCTAATTTGGATCATAAACATATAATTTTATTCTTTCTAGCAATGGATGCTATTTCATTTCAACTCGAAGGCAGAAGTTACAAAACTTTTTAAAATCATAGGTAGAATGCATGAAGAATAAACTCACCTTCCTTATATGCCGGATTGTCATAATGAACTTCCAAAAGCACAAAAAGAGGATCTAATGGGGTGCCGAGGGATAGCCCGACATGCGGCGGATAGGAAAAACCCTGAATTAGAAAAACTTCATGAGACAGTGTATCCTGAAAGTCCTTGAAAGCTCTACTCCACTCAAAAGCCAACCATTCTGAAAGAGATTTCCACATACTGGAACTCCATTCATCAATAGCTGATAAGATAAAAGGGCTTACGGAAAGGATTCCTTTCTTAGAAAAGAAAAATAAGCTGTCCTCTTATAAAAAATAATGTATAGGTTACTTCTAAGTATTGGAATCATAGGGGAAAACAAGATCAATTAATTGTGTTACATCTCAGTGAACACTAGCCCCACCTCTCCACCAATGGCCCAAGCAACCACCACGGTCTCGCAGGTGTAGAATTCATCGGGCATGTTGGGGTGGTAGCACTCATGGCCGTAGTCCAGGACGCTGTCGTTCAAGTTGCTGCTGCACTGATAGAGCAGGATGTGATGGACCAGACTCTCGTGGCCTCTTTGTATCACAGGCTCCACCTAAACAAGCACAGAGCAGAGAGAGGAGGCAATACATTAAATCAGCTTACCACTTCGCATGAGCATGACACTAGCAAAACTGGTTATCAGTCTTTCAAAGAAATGGTTTCCTGAATCATGTAAAGGTTATGTGGCTCAAGTATAATTTGTTGTAATGATGACAACAACAACCATGGCAACAACAAAGAGGAAACAACTGTTTTTACTCCAAGAATCACAGGACTTTACTAGTCTGTTGTTTTGTTTTTGCCGTTTTTTTTTTTTTTAACTTACTCTTGTTTCCCTTACCATTCTGCATAACAGATGTTTCAAAACTTGCTTGCCTTCTGCCAGGCTTTATATTTCTCCTGCTCCCCTTCCCTCTTTTTTTTTCCCAAATAGAAAAAAAATCAAGGTTTAAACTCCCTCAGCCTCCCTCTCTTCCACCTCAAAAAGTTCTCGTTACTAATCATTCCTAGAAGTGATTTATGATGTCTCATGCATCTATCTAGTATCTGTCTATTTATCTATCTTCCTGAAGCTGAGCATAGAGCTGGGCACAAAGTAGGGCTCAGTAATGGATATTTTTATTTTAGGATTTAAAAACAAATTCTATTAAGAATTTTACTATGAGAATTTGGGAGAGAAAAGAGAAAACACTGTAGTGATGTCCTCAGATTAAGCAAGGGGAAGCAGAAACCAGTGAAAATAGAACAAGCAGGGAGGTTAGTCCTCAGAGTGGAAGCATGGTTCGCGGGAGCAGGGCTCCTTCCACTGCCCCTTCTGCGAGCTCCCTGCAGAGCACTCCCCCACTGCAGTCCAGGAGCTCAGGGAGCTGACTGCATCCTCACATCCCAAAGAACCTTCTCTCTGGAGCAAAGGCATGAGCCCCACGCTTAGCCTGGCTGAGTTATTGATGCTGCCATCAGTTACGTGGTTCTTTGAACCTTCTGCTTAACAGACAAAGAAGTCCTAGTGTGTCCCTAAATTTCCAAAAGTTAAGCTGTCTTAAGGCTCTTCCACACACTTCTGCTTTTAGCCTTATTTAGTCAAACGCAGACAATGCATTTTGAAACCCTTGCTTTTCTCTGCTTCAGACATGCATATAAAGGTCAAGTGTTTTCACCTATTTTCTCCTAAGGTTTTCCATTTTGATTTTCTACATAGTTTTAATTATTTTAAAAAAACAGTAAAATCTAAGCAGCAGAAGAAGGAAAGGGTATGTAGTGGGTAGAGATCTGAATAGGCAGCCAGGGATTCCAGTGTCTAAATCCAGCTTTATTTCGAGTTGCACACTGAGTCATGCCTTACTTACCATATGTACAATTTTAACATTGCTTACACAGAAATGACATTGCTCATGGCTTTGTCTGCATTTGTCTTGTCTCTGAAACACCGTGCACCCTGAAGGCAGAAACTATTTTCTATTTGCTTGGAAATGACAGTTATTCTTCAAACATGGTTGCATAACATACTACGGTTTCACAATAGGGTAACACAGGATTTCTAATAGATTTTACTTTCCACATCTAATTTGAGCTTTCCTGTGAGACTTGATTTATTTGGCCACCTCCATACTCTGAGGGGGACATATTTACTGTGTGCTAATATGTCCACAGTAAAATATTTAGGCACATGTGAGATTTTTGCTAAGTGCCTTGTAAGGTCAAGAAGAACCTGTAGGTTGTACTGAGCTTTACAAGGTAGGTCCTGGAAAGGAATTGTTAAGGCAAAACCATTGTCTGTTGCCAAGGCAGCTACAGAAACTAGTGGTTTTCATTGAGGCATAGCAAGAGTGAGCTAAGAGTGTGCATGTAGAAATGTGAGGCTAGTTGGTGCCTGCCATTGAGACGCTTAAAAAGAGGCAAAGGACCCAAATAGACATTTTTCCAAAGAGAACATACAGGTGGCCAATAAACATATGAAAAGATGCTCAACATTACTAATCATCAGAGAAATGCAAATGAAAACCACAATGAAGTATCACTTCACACCTGTCAGAGTGGCTATCATCAATAAATCAACAAATAGCACGTACTGGCAAGGAGGTAGAGAAAAGGGAACCGTCATGTACTGTTGGTGGGGATGCAGGCTGGTGCAGCATGGAGTGCAGCACACTGTGGAAGGCAGTATGGAGTTACCTCAAAAAGTTAAAAATGGAACTGACTTATGACCCAGTGATTCCACTTTTGGGAATTTACCCAAAGAAAACCAAAACACTGATTCGGAAAAAATACATGCACCTCTATGTTCATTGCAACATTATTTACAATAATGAAGATTTGGAAGCAGCCCGTGCCCATCAGTAGATGAGTGAATAAAAAAGCTGTGGAACATTTACACAATGGAACGCTCCTTGGCTTTGAAAAAGAAGAAAATTTTACCCTTTGCGACGGCATGGATGGACCTGGAGAGCATTATGTTAAGTGAAATAAGCCAGTCAGAGAAAGACAAGTATCATGTGATTTTCTTCATATGTGGAATCATATGAACAAAATGAACTAACAAGAAAAATAGCGATAGGCTCATAGATAGAGAGCAGGCTGACAGCTCTTGGTGCGGGAGGTGGGCAGGGAGGTGGATGGAAAGAACAAAAGAAGAAGAAGAAACCCATGGACATGGACAACAGTGTGGTGGCTGCTTTGGGGAAGGGTGGCAGGGGAAGGTGGAGGACAGTAAAAGGGGATAAATGGTGATGGAAGGAGGCTTGACTTGAACACACAATACAATGTACAGGTGATGTGCTATAGAATTGCACACCTGAAACCTGTATAATTTTTTAATCAGTATCACTCCAATAAATGCAATAAAAAAGGAAAAAAAGATATTTCAAAAAAATGTCTTAGAAGAAGCTTTTATGAGTAAGTGCTTTTTTAAAAGAAATATGTAGGAAGTCCTGAAACCAACACCAAGCTTCCAAGGTACCAATGCATTCTAGGAATAATAATAGTAACTTGTCTTTTCTTCAGCACCTACAACCTGCCAGCCACTATATTAGTCATTTGACATATCTCATTTAATATTTGTAAGAAATGTATAAAGTAAATGTCTCCATTTTACAGATGAGAAACCTGAGACTCAGAGGATTAGGCAACAAGCCCAAAGCATCACAGCTAGGAAGGGGCAGATGGGGATTTGAAACCAGGCTGGTCTGATCCCAGAGTCAGTCCTCCTTCTGCAACATGTTATTGCAGGAAGACATGCTGGAGATGCACCAAGGGCCCTGCAGGTTGCTGCCATCTCCAGAGAGGGAGGATGAAAGGCTTCAATGAGGCACACCACCGACAGATGTCAGCAGGGAGGGTGGAGGCACCACAGAGCCAATGCCAGAAGGTGCTTTGGAGCCACTACCAAGAATCACCACACAGCCCTGCCCCCAGAGGGGCAATGCGAGGAGGGGAGCTTTATGGAAGGCGGGGTGGTCTCCTGCCCTCCTTGCCGCCCCAGCCCCAGCACACCCTGACCATTAGGGAGACAGCCCCGTGGCCTTTCCAAAAGAGAGCAAATAATAAAGCATCTCCTTGAAACCTGGTGAGGGCTTCAAGGGAAATTATATTGTAACCTGACCTACAGATTGCAAATCCAGAGTACAGGCTAGAAAATGAGGTTTTCCTGAGGAAAAAAATACATTCCAAAGACGACAAGGAAACTTGACGCATGCACACCTGGGCACTGATCATAGAAAAAGATAAGACGACTTGGAAGAAGCAATTTCTTGGCAAAATGGAATGGATGTACGAGATAAAAGGGACCAAGAGAAGTACCTGAGAAGTATATGTAAAGCCAGCTATTGAATGAAGGGGCTACTAATATAGGAGAAAATACATGGGTTATCAAATGCCTAAAGAATGGGTGAATTTCTCAAGGAGGACTTTTAAGATAATCATGTGGAATAATAAAATAAGAAACTAAGAATTTCCCTGTGGATAGGCACAACCTGTTTAGTGAAGGTACAAATTCCAGGGAATGGAGGCACTTCGATCAGTGTAGGTAGGTCAGGGCCATAGACTCGCGGTGCGCACCTCCCTCTCCGCCCCCCCCCCGCCCCCTGCCCTGGGGATAGAAGTTCCCACAAAGCTTCCTGTCATGCTTACAGAGCCTAGGTGTAGCAGCACATTGCTACCAATCCCCAAATGATGGCTGTTGTTATCCTCTGCTTCCTCAACCAGTTCCACAAAACATCTGAGGCAGTCATAGCACATGTGTTCTATGCCCTGTTGTGATTGTCTTTAGCCCAAGTGACATTGAGGCAGAGACGGGAGAGCAGTGTCTGAGGAAGGACAGGGAGGCACATAAGTGTTCCAGACACATGCCGCTCCTTGGCTGAATACAAGCATGAAACACCACTGTTTCTTGTGTATTCAGGAACTGTCCATGGGAAAAAGACTTTTTGCATCGTTAGGGTATTTGAAACAAAGGTGCGGTTATACATTTTTGTATTAAAAATATTTCCGAAATAAATAAGGCTCTAATGAATCAGTGCTATAGGAAGCAGCACTTAAAGAGGGTGCCCTATTTTGGTCACTTCACAGATGTCACATTATTATCACAGTCAAATGGGATTGCCAAAGACTGTCCCTATTCAAAAAATATTAAACTTATAGAAATTGTCAAAGAAGGTATGGAAACATAAAGGATATAGAAAGATAGATAAATTGGTATTTCTGAGACTGAAGTGAACATTTAAATTTTGTTTTAGGCTGGCTCTATGATTACAGAAGAAATAAATATTAAGGAATGCAGAGCAGAGCACATAGAAGTGGGTGGCAGTGACACAAACACCTGAGGACATGTTTAAAGTGTGTTATTGATCATTGTGTTTTTGATCACAGGTGGAGGTGATCTATTAACATGGGTGCATAGTAAAGGAGCAGCCCAGGAACCAAAACACACATGAAAGAGAAGAAAAAAATGAGTTGTTAAGTATAGCCAAGACCAAGGTGGAAATTAACACTGATCATAAAACTGAACTGGGAAAGTGAAGAGCCCCATATATTTATACAATTCTCCGTGACCTGTCA